CACTGAAGGATATTAACAGTTATGCAGATATATCTGGAGTTTGTTTTTATGAGTAAATTCTTAACTATTAAACTATTACTACTCTTATATCCCAAAAAAACTGCATGTTTATATTTCTCTTTTCACACTGATAAGACTTCAAAATATATTCCTTCAAACCAGATGAAAATATTCAAGGCTAAAAACTTTTCTTTGAAAGACATTCCAACCCTTAATGAAGTAAATGACAGTCTACTTAAATAGAGTGGTTAATATTTCCCTTAAAGCACATTTGAAATATACACTAACGTTTGCCAAAATTGTACCACCATGAAGAAATTATTCAAATTGAACCAAACTTGGTTCAACTTGCATAATTGAGGTAAGACGTGCAAATGATTAAAATTACAAAGCAATTGCACATGCATGAAATGAAAACTTGCCACTTAATCTACATATATAAAGGACTGAAAGTTGTGTTGAAATCTGTTTCTCGTTTTCTACCTGCAGTGAAAGTTTAATTAGTGGTCAATATGCGTCATCAACAGTCGAGGGTGCCATACCTAAGAATTAACGGAGTTCGTACACGGCCGCATCATCGGTAGTGAGAGGGTTGACCTTCATATTCAACAACTGCAGCCTACACGCAGAGTAATGCGTGTTTGGAAGAAATGGACAGAGGAGAACCCAACAAGGTGAAATTCTAGCAGTAGGGCATTCAACAGCAAAGGACGACAGACATGTCAGCGACAGATTCTAGCAAGTCCTCTTGTGTATTAGCACAATGTTGGAGCACGGCACTCTGCGGTTAGTCGTCTGCTGCAGCATGAATTACAAAGATTCCTTTACGTAGCATTCCTCTGTCGCTTAATCAGACACTTCCAACTTCAATGGCCATGACAACACAGAGTGTGCTGTGCCCTGTGGCAATAAGTTATTTTCTCTAACGAATCTCACAACAATCTGTAATATGATGGAAGAGTAAGCATCAGACATTACAGAGAGGAACATATGCTCCCACAGTGTGTTATCCAGCATCTTACAGCACCAATGCCTGGCATCATGGTGTAGGCAACCAACAGTGATCGCTATATAAGGGAAGCTGTGGAGTCTGAGGTTATCCCCATTCTGGATGCTATATTTCAGCAGGATAATGCCCGTGCACATTTCCCAGAGTGCACAAGCCTTCTTTAAGGCACATTAGATTTCATTTCTTCCCTGACCTACATATTCCCTGGACATGCCATCCACTGTGCATGTCTGGGATCAGTCGGCAACTTATTTGCACAACTGGGGGTGAGGCACACAAGACTGAACTTTGGCATCAAATCAAAGACATATGCTATTCCCTAAGATTACATCCATGATATGCATGATTCAATGCTATGACATTAAAAAGCCTCTCATCCCTCAGTATGGCCACAAAGTACTGATTTCCGACGTTAGTTTTGTTTTTTGTCTTGTAAACTTTATTGTTTATTTGTATCACTATCAGTAATATATGGACTAAATTTATTCATTTCCAACAATTCCTTCATGGTGTAGCATTTTTCACAAACATTAGTCTAGTATTACCGTTGTTTTCAAAATTCCAACCTCAATAGTTTATTTAATGATTATATCTTAAAATGATTAGTTTTCATAGGGTTGTAACCTTATACCTTGAAAAAATAACACATATTAAAATAAATAATGGCAAATAGTTTTTTTCAAAAAACATGCATATCTATTAAGAAAAATTATTCCAATAAATCACTCCCATTTTACTTTTAACCACTTGCACTACGACTAAACTTCACGGTTGCAGTGGCGTGAGCTACAATATAACAAGTGGTAAAGTGTCTCACTTACACCGCTTCACATCTGCAAGTGCAATCCAAATCTGTAACGAAAAATAAACAACAATCTTGTTGTTGGGCGACATGTGCACCACTTTATTTTATTTATGCGATAAATGCCTATCGAAATATCGCTCGCGGTTCAAGACAAAAGCATCTTGACGTGCTTTTTAGCGCAAGTGGTTAAACAGGATAAACAAAATATTCAAGGAAGGAGATTTATACTGATGAAAATTCTTGGAATTTATTTTAATAAATTAAAGGAGGGATAATAATGTCTGAAATATAATGTAATGATATCTGAAATTTAAATTCAAAATTCCTACTATTTTTAAAGAAAAAAAAACTGTACCAATACTTTTTTTTTAATTTATGAAAAAATAAACTGCAAATATGGTTATTGGATCATGCACCTATTTCAATTTAGTAAACATAAAATTATATATCATTTTACTCATTTTTTCATCACAGTTCACAAATATCTTACAACTAATCTATGTTCAGTAATATTCATGACTTAATTATGTCACCATTAGAAGATGATTGCAAATAAAAATCTTTCCAGGTCTTTAGAATTCATTGCATGTTTTTTTTTTTTTTTTTTTTAAATATCATCACAAAACAGCCTATTCAGGAGGTTCATCTGCCAAAGAGGTGATACGCTTTAATACTAGAAACACTCGTATGATATACTATGAAAATATCAAATATGACTCCATATATCCAGCCATTTAACTATATTTATGACCTTTTTTATCATTATTTATCCTTAAAAAACTATCTAAACAGCATCAACAAACAATCTCTATTTGTCCCATAAACACACTGGATATTCTGAACTGGAAAAACACCCATGCATTTGTTGCCATTAATTTCTCTCTTTTCTTGAAATTAAGAAGAATCCCATAACAGAAAAGGTTAGACCAATGGTACATTCAAGAAATGTATATATTTATTATTTCACACAAGATACAATAAAATGTGAAACTTGCTTAACTGTAAAATACAGAAGCCTAAACAAAGCACATCCCCCCTTGAAAACACATTTTATTTAAAGTTAATAAAAAGGAAGATGCATTCTAATTATCCACATTTATTTCAATACCCAGTAAAATTGCAACATTTGCTAGCACACGTACAATAGCAAACCCCTTCACTTATGCATACAACATATGCTGGAATACACATGGATTTATACACTTTATACCTAACCATCATTAATGGTATCACCAACTGTTAAAAATAAACACTAGCCTTTTATATTTTCTCATAAAATACTTGTTTTGTAATTATTTCTGAATAGCAGTTTTACAATTTAGTTGCATTTAGTGTTTAATAACTAGCCGCAAAGAAAGGCAAACCAATGTTTTTTCTGGAATGAGGTGCATATAATTAGAAAGCATCAAAAGTGAATAAATAAAATTCAATTAATAGAAATATTTAACACCATTCATTAATGGAACTTTCTGATTGTTGCCTACTCCTATGAAAAGTTGTGAACTCAGAGGGGGGGGGAATTAATTGGCTACCTTTATAGCTTTCTTATTAGTGTTCACAAGGAAAAAAACATCTATTCGAACAATATTTGCATTTTTACAGCCATTATCTAATACTGTTTGAAAAATGGCAGCTAAATATAAAACATATAAACTCACACACATTCAATAGTGCCAGTCGTATGCATGCGAGTTGACTGTTGTTACATGTATATTTGAAAATATGGGAGGAAAGCGGTTTTATCAAGTTGAAACTGGGAATGCAGATAACTAGAAAATGCCATTTTTATTTCAATAGTTAAAAAGCCTATAAAATTATATTCACAAATCCTGAACATTATTTTTCTTCCTCAGTTTCACCACTAATTCAATGCAAACAGCAGCAAAAACAAATTGTATGTATTTTAATTAAATGGTGAAACAGAGGAAAAGGTAATGAATCAAGTACTTTCTGTGGCTACTTACAATTTAAACCAAGATTTAAAAGCAATTTTATTATGCACCTATAGACTACACATAAAGTAAGAGGTATTTAAAGATTGAATGTAGTGTCTGCGTGGATATGTCACAAAAATTATGTCCTCTAGAAGATTAAAAGCCAGAGCATTAAGCTGCGTTCAGAAGATGGTATATGTGGTTTAAGCTGAGCTGCATTGCCAGGCAGGGGGTCACTGTCAAGTCACAAAATCCGGTTTAGGGCTCTTGGCATAAGAGTCAACCAATCAGAGCAACAGCCCAAAACCTTAATGTGAAAACAGAGCAGCAAAGATGTAGACACATCCACGCATGCATAAATTTAGCTTCTCTAAGTGGGTGGGGCTTAGACCCTGTTTCGCAGGTACAAATGGAGTTCCCGCATTTTATTCCTTGCGATTATGCCTCTGTGACATTTACGTTGCCGTCTGAACGCAGTCTTACACAACACTCTCAAGGATTCAGATCTTCAGCTTCTTCCCTTTGGTTGCAAAACTATCAACATCAGGCATATGTACCTTTTTCACACTTTATGAGTAGTATCTATTGGCTGTGCCAAGCAAATGCTTTTCACCAATAAGTGACTTTGTATAAAGGCATGGATAGCAAACTCAATAGCAAAATATATCTGTTGGGCATATCTTTACAGCTTGTTTATAAATTACAGCTTTACATTCTGTTTTAAAAAAAAAATTTAAAAGAAGCAATTTCTAAAAAAAAAGAAAGTTATTAGAAAGCAAAAAATCTAAGTGGCCAATAGATACATTTTTATGAAATAAATAGTCCTTCTGAGCTAACCATTAAGCAAAAAATAAATGAGGATATAAATCTAAGGCACTCAAACACACTGTGCAGAAAGCATGCACAAACTGGCTATTGTTGCAGATACATTAAAATATATACCATCCCCCCAAGAAAAAGGGCCGTTTTATTAATGTTGAAACCATCCTCAGTTAAATTACTTACTCAATGAAACAGAAAAAGAGTAATGAATCAAGTATTTCCTCCTGTTACTTACAAATTTAAAAATAAAGAACTATACGATTTACATATTTAAAAACAAAATTTTATTATGTACCTATGGAATATACATAAACTAACACAAGTATTTAACGTTTGAATGATGTGCTTGTGCGGTTATATCGCGAAAAAATATAAGGGCTCCAGAAGATGAAAACAAGCAGCGTCGCACAACATTCTCAAGGATTCATACCTTCAGCTTCCTCAATACCTTCACCAGCATCTTCCTCACCTTCTTCATATACTTCTTCTTCATCCTCTTCTTCACCTAAAAGCAACATGTAAATATAAAATGAAAGCAACATTAGGTAATAAATTAGTCATATATATGAAAAATTAAAGGTTTTTCCTTTTTCTGAGATGAAAGATTGATTTGATTATGACAAAGCATACAAAGGCGAGGAGGATGTCTTCAAAGATTTAAAAGTCTAAAAGGAGGGATGTCTTCAAAGATTTTTAATGGGACCAAGCTCATATTCATGTTATATGGAGGGGATAACAAAACCTCCCATAAAGGCAGCCTGTCTGCAGAGAAACCTACATTCATCCAGATTCTTCATTATTTAATTCCTCTACATATAATGCACGGCTCTAATATTTGGTGGCAAGAATTTGGAAAATGAAATGCCATTTATAATGATTCAACACAAAATTAATAGCCTTTCTAAACTAATGCGCGTTAGTTTCGAAAGGCTATTAATTTTGTGTTGAAGAAAAAAATTAGTTTCAGTTTAAAAATGATTCAAATTTATGAAAAAATTTTAAATAAACCTGAAACTTTATTGAGTTAAACTTCATTCAAAGGACAAACCTGGAACCAAAGAAAAGGCCTTTTGCGATACAAACAGCAAAATAAGTAGAATAAATTTTGAATTATAATCCTCATTAAGCATTTATATATGTTTTAAATCATTTATATAAAGGAATTATATACGATAAGACATAATTACAACAAATACCTTGAATATGGTCATGTTACGAGCGATAAGATGGCTTTCCCACAAAGCGGTTTTAGGGTCACCAGAAAACGGCAAGAATGAGCAAAGTTACCAGATTTGGCATGAAACTGCCCATTCGATGACATGCCATAGATGGAGTGAGAATATTCTAAAATGAATTCTTAACTGTTTGCCCCAGAATGTTCTCAAAGGCAGGTAAAAAAAAGCTATATAAACTCTGCCTATACACGAAACAGCAGGGTATTATCAGTTTATCGCGAATTATACCTAGAGTACATCTAGTTCAGTAGTAGTGTCTTCAGCTCTGAAAGCGATCGACCAAGTTGTATGATGCCGTGAAGCTGTCTTCAACGTTATAGCCTGAAGCCTGTGTTTCTGATTGTTTCAGCATGTTTGTCATAGTTTTTGGATGACTGTAAACATGCTTTTGGATCACTCCTGTGTAACACTGAGGAATAACCCGTGTTTTGATTTTTCATTAAGTGTTGTCATCGATTACTCCAAACCCACAAACCCATAGAACGTGACAATAACAAAGTTCAATGGTACATGCATTAATACTCTAATGCTGCACAAGATTAATTGCTATCTTTTCCAGAATTCAAGATTTTTCTAATTATGATTTATACTGAAGCAGTGTTTAGCCTTAGTTTCCTAAAAAATAAGTATTTCTCATATCAGTTCCCACATGGGTTATCTGAAAAAAAAAAAAAAAAACTGTGTTAAGCATTTCTATTAATGATTGTTTTTTGGAAAGGACCATAATGACAACAGAATCTAAATTTTAATAAAAACATCAATTTTCTTTAATTTCTTTTACGATGTAAAACAAATGGAACAAAGTATGTGATTTATTACTAAATTCTGAATGTAATTTTTTAAATAGTAAGTAGTATTTGTAACATAATTTTTAGTAAGTAAATTAGAGCAAAACTTCACAATTAGGGAAAATTTGATCATCAATTGATGTTATGTATATTAAACTACTGATTTTCATCAAACAAAAATATAACCAATGAAAAAGTGAATACAAAATGTGAAAATGAAAATTTCAAGTAAAAATAAAGACCTTATTAAAATGCTCAATTAACAAGAAACTAACAAAACATTAAATGGAGAATGAAAACTTACAAAATGATACGACAACGTAGCTGACAATAATCAATTTTATCCCTCGGAACACTTACTCCCTTCCTCTTTGAATGTTTTGCCTTTATCAGTTAAACTAACCTAACCTTACAAAATTACTGATAAATTAGGAAACACTGACAAATTACAAAATACTAGTTAATTGAAAAACAACAAAATAGAATCATTGGAGGGACAGAAAGGATATAGGGGAAAAAAAAAAAATGCTGCAGATTAGGGGGAAAACAAAGCGAGGAAGATAAAAAAAAAAAGGAAAAAGATTTAGTCAGCTTAACTCAAAATTACAACCTTGAAATCTGAAAAGCCAGGTTTTTCTTAAATGAAAACTGGAGGAAAACCAGGAAATTTTCAAGCTGCATCACAGTGCCATATCTACAAAACTCCAAATGTACTTAAATTCACTTTACAAAGCATGATGCATGTTTACTCAACTATTAATATAATTTCAACTGTACACATATTAATTAGATATAAATTTTATGTTCTTTGTTAATTTCGATGTTCAATATTCTTGAAATTTTATAATACTAAGAAAACCCCGAGTAGGGAAAGTAAAGCTTTTATTTTATCTCTCTACTCTTAAAATGATGGAAAAAAATTAATGCACAATATTTGTTCAGATAAACTATATAATGTATCATGTAATAAGGTAAAACAAAATTAAATACAAATATCGACTATTGCTTGATTTTTCATATAAAGGTCTACAGTGGATTTCAATTCAAAGGAAATAAAATTTAATTGATTTTTCATGTAAAGGTCTACAGTGGATCAAGACAATTCAATTCAAAGGAAATAAAATTTAATAAGTTCCTAAAATGATAAAATGATTCAAGTGAAAAATGAAGTGAAGTTTCATATGTATTCTGAAATTCACTACAAGTGGTTAAATGCAATTTTATAAATTATTTTAATGACTTATTTATTGCAGGGAAGCATTTTCCTTGTTAGCTTTTCTTAGTAAAAGTTAAGAAATGAAAAACCAGGAGTTATGTTTAAAAACCAGAAATCTCCCAGCTAAATCTGTAGAGTTGGTAACTATGCAAAACCCACTGAAAATGCTACTTTCAACAAACTTAGAAACTAAAATTTCATGGCTGTGTTAATGAAAAGTTTTGAACTTAGTAAATTATTCCAAAAATATTTAGCACTATTTAGCAATTAAACAATAGGCACACACAGCCCATCAAAATAGTTCTAGGTCTGCCCCTATATGTAAATTAAAATTAAATTTCTGCAGGTCTAACTGATATAGGATTTCAGGTACATACAAGAGTTCAGCTAATGAAAAATCCTCAAAACTTTTGCTATTTCAACTATTCACATACATATGTATTTCCATAATAGATAAATTTTAAAATACAAATTCAAAAATACATAAAAACTACCACATTATCATACTGCCAGAAATGGTGCCACTTCTATAATTTCCATTTAAAATCACGTTATGTCAAATGCTTTATACTTGGACTAGTGCACTGATAAAGGGGAAAATTGGCATTTCCACTTGTATTCCTTTAAAAGGACATCCCATATAATACTGCAGAATATCACTAATTCTCTAAAATCAAAAACCTTAACACTCATCCCCCCCAAAAAAAATTTCACTGACAGTACAGCAATTCAAATAAATCTATACTCCTAAATCATTCCTCTACTGATGAAGAGAAATAATTCTCCAACCTTAGACCAAATATTAACCCAAAACTGAATCCAAAAGCAGTTAACATCTAAAAGCTGCCTCTAGATCAAACTCAAAGAACGCTTCAATGCATTTCTTACAGACAATGAAACAATTAAAAAAATTTAAGAAGCAATCATCTCTCCGAACTTACTCCATTAATTAAAGGTCATTTACATCAGCTAAAAACACAGAAACAGAAATGGAACAGACGTATATACAATTGATATTTGAAGAAATAATTTTTAAGCCTTGAAATTTTTCCAAATGCACAGGTAGTCATCAAGAGAATGGTGAAAAAATTTCTAGCTATCAAAACCAAGCAACATATAAATCAAAGCACCAAGAAGGACTTTTGTGATTGTGACGAAATTTGGTATGACAAAAACATCTTGATCGACATGCAAATGATCAACATTTCAACACAAATGAACAGGAATTGGGATCATGGCGCGCATTTCTAGTGCGCAGTTCGCAAAGTATAAAACCCGTAACAAGGACGGAAAAGTTATCTTTTTTTGTAGCTGCCATTGTTATTCCATAAAGAAGCAACTAAGATGCCATTATGACAATATCGAAGTCCTTACAGACAACTAAAGGACTTCAAACTTGGTTGCATTGTAGGGTTGCGTAAAGCTGGGTGGTCATACCGAACAATAGGCCGTCACCTGCAGCATACAGACACTGCTGTGCAAAGATGTTAGCAGCAATGGTTGATACAAGGAAATTGCCGACAAAATGAAGGCTCTGGAAGGCCAAGGAGCACAAATGCGAGACAAGATACAATGAATGTTCGCCAGGCCTGAACTGCCCCAACGGCATCATTGTCGTCAACGCACTACAGACACGTCTATACCTCCCATGGTACCAGCCATCATCTCAGGGCACTTGTCTGAGACGGGGTTATGCTCACAGAAGCCTTTAAGACATTTATTTGCTTTTGACCCCATAACATTGACGTAGTCGTCTGAAGTGTAGCAGCCGATCATCATGGCTCCTATCAGGCTGGCATCGTATAGCGTGCAGCGATGAATCTCGCTTAACTCTTGAAGCAGATGACCACTGTGTTCGTGTCTGGAGAGGAGGGGGGCAGCGGTCCCAATCAATTTTACAAAGGAATACAGCCATAACCCCTGGTGTGACAGTATGGGATGTTATTTCTTATGACAGCAGGTCATCTTCAGTCATCCTCCGTACATCTTTAACAGCTCAATGATATGTTGATAACATCCTGCAGCTGGTTGCATTAACTTTCATGGCACATCATCCTGAGGCCATTTTTCAACAAGATAATGCCGGATCATAATCTCTGGACTGTCTTCGTGCGGTTGATACTCTTCCTCAGCCAGCAAGTTCACCAGATCTTTCACCAATTGAGGATGTCTGGCGCATGGTAGGCTGCCAGATTCGGGCACCACAAAATATCCATAGATCTGGAGAGAACTTATGAATGCCTGGCAGAATGTGTCGCAGGATGACATTAGCAACCTCTACCACTGCTTGCTTCGACGAATTCAAGCATGCATTGCCGCCAGGGGCAGTTCGACCAACTACTAATTTGAACACTCAATGGGTGATTGTGATCCATGTGAACTACACACATATTCAATTTCATTAAAAACAACCACTTCCTTCATGGATTGGTTCGATGCTTCGATTTTTTTGCAAGAGTGTATAGATACACATAGAGAGAGCTAAAGATATTTGACTTCTTCATACAATAAGCTAACAGTTTACAAAGTGATTAATTTAACTGGGCTGGGACAGCCTCTGAAAAAGGAATTACATGTAATAAAATACTTTGTTTAAATCAGTGCTCCACAACCTTTTCTCACCTGCGACGCACAAAAAATCTTTCTGGAATTTCGTGGCACACCAAAAGCTAATGTATATATGTATTGATTTATACATAAAATTTACAATAAATTTTTGTTTTTAATTTGAAAAATATACAATTATAAAACCATAACATTTATTTATATGCAATCATAATAATTATCAATGTGATACTTGCGCTTTAAAAAAAAAATATATATTTTTGAGTTCCGAGTTATCAAGGAAGTGCCGAAAAAATTCAAATGCTGACACACAATCACACAACAGTGAAATATATAAAAACATTTAAAATAGACATTATTAAGGAAAAAAATTGTCATTGTGTATTAAATACATGATAAAAAATTGCAAAATGTCAAATACATGTATTTGATTGCGGCACACCTATATCTTACTCATGGCACACCGGTTGCGGAGCATTGGTTTAAATAACCAAAAGGTGAAGTTATGTTTTAATGCAAAATGAATAAGTATTTTAGTTAAAGATCCATGTTAACATGTTAGACGAATTACTGCTATTCTGCCAACAGCTAAGTACCTCAAACCTTTTGAACTGTTACAATTAAAACACTTTGCTCCGAGGTGTTATTTCAAAGTAAAAGAAAAATAAAATAAAAAAAATTACAATATTAAGAAATGAAGCACTGTTAAGTAACCAAGATAGAAAGGGAGAAAAAAAAAAAAAAAGAGAGAGCTGCAAAATTTAGGTAATTATCTATTAAATGCATAATAAAAGAACAAATCTACAAATTTAGGCAACATTTATAAGATATCAAAAAAATACTTAAATAAAGAACTCATTTCATATCATTCAATGGTTTCATAAATAACTCTATCATAAGCTTTTATGCTATACATATACCATACATAAAATGCTTAGATGCAAAAATATCTAATAAATACCTTCTCCATCATCCTCCTCATCTTCACCATCACCTTCTTCCTCAACTACAACTACTGAATCATCTACTTCGTCATCCTCACTAAGAATTTACAATATATTTTACTCAAGTTTCATTAACAGCTAAATTTTCAAAATTCATAAATAATATGAAATGAAAATTATCCATATAAAAGCTTTTATTAATTTGGATCAAAAACAGTTACACATATTTAGTAGTAATCTACACAGGATCTGCTTGCCAAGAAAGTGCTTTCCTAACTTACATGCCATTTTAAGTTTTCACCAAAATATATATTAATATGATACAGGTGAGGCCATCTGCTTCTTGGTGAATTTTACACTGTTTTATTGTTAATTTTCAGAGTGTAAGGAATGTTGTTTCATTAAAAATTCTAATCATTAATATATGGAATAATTTCACATGTGACATTAGCCTAACTATGGTGTCCTGTGTTGTGTCAAAACCACCCATGTCATTGAACCATGGTAAATTTTTAATTCTTAAAATGTTACAATACTAAATGCCATTCAATAGAATATAGAATTTCTGACATTACTTTCTTCTAATAGCTACATGGTATATGCACATAATTTAAAGATTTTAAAATCTACTTGAAATATCCTGCACAATATGAGTTATCAGAATTTAGAATGTCAAAATTACTTAAAGGATTTTTTTAATATTATGGAAACAAAATCTAGATCTATTGGTTTTTAAAATTATTTTCAACTCAATATATATTAAGAAAAACAACTGAATATTTAAAATCTTTTTCTAAGCAAGTATACACAGTACAAAAAGATGAGCAGAAATTACCTTTCATCTTCTTCACCTTCTATTCCATTCTCTACTTCAATATCTGGAACTAAAAAGTATTGTAGTGGATTTGGCCACATATCATCTTTTATAACCTGCAAAAAGAAAATGGTTAAGACTAAAAAACAAATACATTCAATTCAGTTCAAATTTTCAGTTTCATTTGCCTCATAAAAAAATGCATAAAATGAGAATAAAGGGGAACTATATCCAGCATCTGCTGTATCAATGGAGATAACTAACAAAAAAGTTTATTTTAACAAGCTGAAAAATGTTTTTCACAATACCTGACATTTCAGTACCTAGAAAAACAAATTCCTTTATGGACATGATAGAAAAACATTTAAAAAAAAAAAAAAAAAAAAAGACTCATAACTATAAAAAATTATTTACTTCAGCTATATCGTCTGCAGATGCATCTCCATGATCAGCAAACCATGTGAAAAATGTCCTTGGTGTTTCATGTGCCCTTTTCCGGCTATTTTTCATCTGTGCCTGTCTTTCTTTATGTCTTTTGGTTAAATCCATTCCATCTTTCCATTTAATAGGAGTTGACTGAGAAGCTGGATCACCTAAAGAATTAAATTCTTTCCTCAATTTTAATATCACAGTTTTCAAAACACATTAAAATTTATTGTACATTAGAATTGAGTAATTTTTGCTCCCATTCAAATTAGATTACTATCCAGTTTAATAATACATGTTTAAACAAATAATAAAAAATTAAGACATTTTAAAAGGAATTTTCATACATAGCAAAATATAAAGCTTCTCAAAAAATTATAAATATATGTCAATAGTGCACACATATTATAAAGCAACTACTCTGAAACAGTGAAATTGGCAATTTGCATCACATATCACTACTAGCATTCCTACAGAAATGCTACAGTTAACAAAATTCCACAATCAGATTAATTAAGAATTTTAATATAAATTTAGCACAATAAAAGATTAACACACTTAAATTGGTATGCAATCTTCCCTTATTATGCCAACAGATAATTATTTCATCAGGTGAAAATATTTATATTATACAGTGCACTCTGTAAAAAATGCATTAAAGAAAGGAACTATGCTATAAGAGGTGTAAAATGCGACATTTTCTGTAAAACTAACTAAAAAGAAAAAAAAAAAAGTTTATGCACTTTGATTTTTAGTGGCATTACTCTCAGCTGCATCAATTAACATGCAAAACTTGAAATGTGCCCCTCCCACACACACAGATACATACCAAAAAAATGGTTTTCCATTTTGTTCTTAAACAAAATATGTGTAAATCTCTAATAAATCAGACTGGATCGCAATTAAAGTAATAAACAGAGGAGCGTTCTTCCACACAACATTTATTCACACACACCAAAGACGAACTGAATACATATACATAATTGACATCACAGTTTCTTTTTACAAACAAACACTACCGCCATCTATTGGCGATCTATGGATACACAATCCTAAACTTAACACTCCCCCTCCATGCATCCGTATATGGATGCATCAATTTTACTGAACTTCAAGATTATAGTCTTTCAATTGGTCTTCTAACAACACCCTTATCCAACTGAATCTCACAAGATCTAATTCTATCATCTCTTCCATGAAATAATTCCTTAATCCTACCTATCTTCCAGTTACAGCGTTTCACATTATCTTCTCGTACAAGTACATCATTAATTTTAAACACGGGAGAATTCTTTGGAGTTTTTGAAAACATGACTGATCTTAATTCTTTGAAAACATGACTGATCTTAATTCTAACAAATATTCTTTATAAAACCTTTTCCAAAAATGCTCTAATATTAATTGCCTATGCTTCCATCTCTTAATCAACTGAGATCTTGTAGATTCTAGTTTAGATTCAGGTGAAGGTAAAACAGTCAATCTAGACCCAGTTATAAAATGAGATGGTGAAAGAGGATCAGGTTCATTTGGTTCATTGTATACATACGTTATAGGTCTAGAATTAATAACAGCTTCAACTTCAACTAAAACAGTATACAGTTCTTCATAATATAAAGAAGCTTTACCTAAGATACGTTTTAAACAAGTTTTTACAGATCTTACCAAACGTTCCCAGAATCCGCCCCACCAAGGAGCACCTTCTACAATAAATTTCCATTCAAACCCATTTTTACCAAGGAAATTTAGAATCTTTTCATCTTTACATAATTTATAAAAATATTTTAATTCACGATCAGCAGTCTTAAAGGTTTTAGCATTATCAGAATATATAACTCTACAAATATCCCTACGTGCAAAAAATCTACGTAAGGCTTGAATGAAACACTCTGCACTTAAATTTGATAACAATTCTAAATGGACTCCTCGAGTCACTGCACAGGTAAACAATGAAATATACACTTTTGTACCATCCTTTAAATACAAAGGGCCAGCGAAATCTATGCCACTTACCTCAAACGGTTGAGCTTTCTCCACTCGGTCAGCTGGAAGAGGAGCCGATATCTCGTGTCCAGCTTTAGCATATTTTTTACAAAATCTACAATCATGTAACACAGATTTTACAAAACGTCTAGCTTTTAAAATCCAAAATTTCCCTCTTACTTGCACTAAAGTTTCATTTACACCACCATGAAGTACCTTTTCATGACAATTCAAAACAATTAAACGAGAAAAATAATTATTTGGTAATATTATAGGCTGAATTTCATCGACATCTAATGATGATTTCACTAATCTACTTCCAACTCTTAAACAACCCTTTTCATCCATTACTGGATTTAACCCAAACAATTTGGAATTATGAGACAATGATTTTTTACATTTAACATCATTCAACTCTTCAAAAAAATACTCACCTTGTGATAAGATAATCCAATAACACATAGCATTACATATTTCATTTTTGGTCACAGGACCAATCACTCTATTCTGTGACTTTAAATTATTAATGAATCTAAATACATATGACGTGACTCTCAAAAGTTTACCTAAGTCACTAAAGTTTTCTATTTTTAACACTGGTTGTAAAGGTTGAACACTGCTAGTAACTTGAGTCACAACTCTTTCTTCAGCACTATCTACTATGTTACAATGCTCGTTCACTTTAGGCCAATTTATTTCATCTTGATGAAGCCATGAAGGTCCATGCCACCACACTTGATCTACTACAAGATCACTCACTTTAACACCACGTGTGATTTTATCGGCTGGATTATCTGAGCCAGGACAATGATGCCACATGCTCAGGGATGTTTTGTCTTGAATTTCAGACACTCGATTTTGTACGAATGTTTTCCATCGCCGTGGTGAGTTCTTTTATCCAATGAAGCACAATAAGAGAATCTGTCCATAAATAAATCTTAGCACAAATGGATTGAAGGAAATGCACACGGACTGTAGTTACAAGTCTTGCACCTAACACTGCTGCCATAAGCTCGAGTCAAGATAATTTTTTCAGGGGAGCCACTCTGCTCTTGGCTATCACTAAACTTGTTCCACAATATTTTAAGCTACGGAATTTCACGCACACTGCTGCTCCGTAAGCACTTTGAGATGATTCACAAAAACAATGTAGTTCCAGTGTTTCATCAACATCACGAAAATACCATCGAGGTATCTGGATATTAGGTAGATCACATAGTTGCTTATACCATTTGTTCCACTTGTCTTGCAATTCTGGTGGGATAATTTCATCCCAATCAACACCTTTCAGCCATAAATCCTGAAACAGAACTTTTGCTTGAATAACATATGAAGCAAGAAACCCAATAGGATCAAAGGTTTTTGAAGCAGCTTTTAAAACACAGCGTTTTGTTTGGTCATTTGACTGGATGAAATCAATAACGTCTTGTGCATTAAAACAGAAGATATCCTTAATTGTATCCCATTCAAGTCCAAGAATCTTTGAGGGGGAATCACAGTCAGGCAATTTAAAGTTAACGAAGTTGTCACTTGATTTATACTGGTTTTTTACAGTATCCGAATTAGAATTCCATTTGATCAAAGTCATTGATGCCTTTTTCATTATATCATTGGCTTCATGATATATCTGTATAGCTTCCTCCTCTTGCTCAAACTTGAATTCTCATCAATCCACAAAAATCGCATTGAATCCCGATCTTCAGGTGCAACAGAAATTTGTAAAAACGCTTTCTCAATATCTGACGTAAATGCAATTCGATGAAGTCGAAAAATTTATTAAAACTTTCAAAAGTTCAGGAAGAAGATTTGGTCCTTGTAGTAAATTATCATTTAGAGATTCATGCATACCTGCCAGCCTCTAAAGACAAAAATTCAGAAGATTTCTCCAAAATTCAGAAGAACACAAAGAATTAATATCATGCTTTGATATTAAAAAAATAACAATTTATACAAATAGAAAAAAGAAAATTGTACTTACAATAGTAAATCTCAATTAAGTAGTAACTAAAAAATTTATTAGGAAACTTAAAACAAGAACTTAATGTTACACAAAAAAAAATTATTGCAATGAATTTAGAGTGCATTTTTTGGCTTTAGGCAAAAATTCTTTGGAAAATTTCTTATCATAACAATTAGTTTCCTCATTACATTTAGCAATTAAAATGTTTTCTAGAGTTTCTGGTGAAATTGAAGAACGAAACATAGTTTTGTTTTTCTTCACAACACTGAAGACTCTCTCGCACTCAGCATTACTGTGTGAAATTACGAGAATAGCACATAAAAAACTCTTGCTAGTCTCGCACTCAGCATTACTGTGTGAAATTACGAGAATAGCACATAAAACTCTTGCTAGTCTATCATATTTTGGTGTACCATAAGCTCTTTTCATTCTTTTTAAGGTACTAACGAGGACATCAAGTCTATCTCCTCCAGAACTGGCAAAGTCTTCAAACTGTGTAAACAATAACTCTGCCAAAATGACATCAGCATCCGAATTCATAGCCGAATTTGAGGAAGCACTTCCGCAGAGAAGCCGGTAAATGTAAACATCGCCAACTTTGGCGATAATAGTTCAACCTGGGAAACCCAGCGGATTTATCCTATTCGCTTGTTCGAAGTTTGCAACCATTCCTCTTGCGTTCACTTTGTTGAATTATCACTGTCGTTGTTCGCATTTGCAGATTTATATTATTCTTCTCTTATTTATTAGAAATATTTTCGTAGAATAGATGCCAGTTTTCGGTTCTGGATGAAAGGAAGAAAATACGGCGGGATGGGTAAATGCTAATTTGTAACACGGCTGTTTACGTTGTGTTCTTAATTATTAACAGCTGTAAGCATGCAGAACTATGAGGTTTTTAACTCCTAAAATAATTTGTTTTCGTAGGCCGCAAAAATATGCATATGCATTTTAAGTAATTAAGTAATGCTTTTATTTTTATTATTGGTTATTGTCATCTAAAATTACAAGAATAAATCAATTTCTGCTGGTGAAAGGAATATATTGTTTTCCGTGTTAACTGGAATTTAAGACAAATTTTTTTCGTTTATCACGTTTAACCGGGTAATTTCAGTACATTAATACTAATTTATATTTTTTTTTTCCGTTATAAATGCTTATATATAGTCTTATGCTTAATATATTCTTTTTCTGTGCTAACTTGAATTTAATACAAATTTATTTCCG